TGGTCGAACTATTTATATGATGGTGATCTACTTCATCGGAATCCAAGTAAGCTCGTTCTACTGATTGGTCATTTCCCTTGAAGCATTATGGTAGCTTCTAGATTATTTTCGATCGCTGAGTTTATGAAATGTATAAATCTGAAGGGGCTCGGGAAGTGTTTGGGCCAAGCCAAATCTGGCGGTCGCTGCAAGAAGAGAATCTGTAGCGATCTTAAAGAAGCCAGCTTCGTTCATTTTGAGGACGCTAAGCTTGTGGACATCGTAAAACGGGCGCTTTGTAGACTGCACAAGTATCAAACAGATATCATTGTGTCCAATTGGCAACGCCAGCTTTCACAAACGAGTGAAGAGGTCAGCAGTGCCCGGCAGAGAAGGCAGATGCTTCAACAGACTATTATCCGCAAAAAGTATCTTCGGTTGGCGCAGCGACAAGAAAACGAGAAACTGAGGTTGCAGCGGAGAAGGCTATTCAGCTTGCATTGCCACGAGAAGGGAGGCATACCAACAAAGCCAACAGGTTTGGGAGTAGTCTCTCATGAACATTCAGTTGTATACCTGACAGGGCGGGCTGATCGATAGTACGCGGAGATAGGGAGCGTGGTAGGTAGCTATTCGCGGATCATTGCTCGCTTTAGCCTCAAGTACGTTTTCCGGTAGGAAGTCAAAACAAACCATTATTACCCTTCAAACCGCTATGGTCGAATTATCTCACCGCTCAATGAATGTACGTCTGTTTGCATGGTCTACTGCTAACGAGTCGTACGGAGGTTAGGGGGGGGGGAGCGGGGAGAATCGGGATAGGAATCACCAAGCAAGTAAACAAGATTGTGGAAACAGCAGTGATTTTAGGTATTCCTCCATCCGAACATAGCCTAAACAAACGCCACCCTCTACTTTGACCCAGCATCATTCAAATCACATTCTAGTGCGACTGAAAGGCATGATGAACGTCTGATTCGAAACCCTTTCTATTGAAAAGGCAAACTCAGACTCAGGTCATCTAGTTGTCCATCAATCTCGAGACTCAGAGATCGCCGACACCGCGGACTAGGTAAGCCGTAGTACACATCAAGCACAGGGAAAACACTGATACGCCCATTGTTGATGCCGCGCCGACAAACGGCACGTGGTCAAGAGGAGTTGCAATAGGTGCAGCACCGGTCGTCTGAACCGCACTGGGAACGCCGGTCCCGTTGTTGTATGGCGGAGAACTTTTGACCAGTTTGAAATTGGCGCAGGCGATCCGCGTCTTGTTTGCGAAATGCAGCACGAAGCTGCGATTGCCGAAAAACGAGCCTGGCCCCTGCACGATCGAAAGATAGCGATCGACGTATGTCTGGCGGTAGTGGTCGCCGGCGACAGAGCCGTGCTTACCGCTGAGGTCTCCAACTTGGCAAGTCTCTGGCCTGGAAGCATCGCACGGTGTACCTTCCCCACGGATGAAGGGGTCATGGTGCGCGAGTGCTTTCGTGCAGTTGCCGTCCTCCGGAACCGGATCAGTATGAAGGTGATAGGCTATCAACGTTAGAACGGACCGATATGAGTAAGTGATTCAGTGGCAAACGATTCTCAACGTACCAAACGGGCCTCCCTCGGTTGGCAGATCCGAAAATTCGACTGTGAGCTCGACACCGTTGCCGTCACGAGCTGTCATGGCGGTGATGGTTCCTCGGACGTTTCCAGTCATGGAACCTGCCTTGAAGAAGGGCCTATCCGGAAGGATTGCCTCATAGACAATACCTTGTGGGTTTTTGACGACTGGGGCATCTCCAAGATCCTGCGGCGACGCGGTGTCAGCGGGATAGTTGTATGTGGGGAGGGGGGGGGGGGGTTTGAATAAAAAGCCATACTCCAGTGTCTCGCGATGCAGCGCTGGCGACAACTGCAGCGGCGACGGAACAGACGAAAATGATCCGCATCTTTTGTTTTTGGAAGCTCATCGTTTTGTTAATATATCGAGGGCTGGATGTGGTTGAAAAGGGGACTGTAAGAGGGTGTATATCATCACCTTTGCTGGTGCAGTGACTTCCGGTTATGTATTTGTTGAATTTCTGCAGCATCACTGTCATGGCCCTATCAGAAGTGCAGAGTCCAGATCAAAGCGCTACGTGTTTGATTAGAAGGATGGTCTAGTCTAGTAAAGCGGCCGCAGCATTCTCTCCAGGTGTCTAGATGTAGCGTTGCTGTGTGGAACCAGCGAGACAGGCTGATTAAACGGCGGAATAACCTGGGAGAAGATGTGTTTGGCTTCGAGCGGTTCAAATTGGAGACAGAGGCTTTTCATCGTGTGATTACTCTTGGATAGAGACTTGAGTTACAAACCGCAGCGGAGTGGCCAACTGACGCAGTTCCCCCGCTGATCCTACGCAATTGTCAGCCGTGAACCTGGCTACGAAGGAACAGCGGGAGCCAGCCCGCAGGCATTCCAGTACCACTAATGAATCAACATTCTCCAAAAACTAGCATAGCTAGCGTGGCAAGGTTATGTTACGCAAGGTTATGTTAGGCCCTGTCGTGATTCATTGGCGGTTATTCAACATGACCTAGGTGGGTCACAAAGAGACTGACTACTAACGAACGTAACCGACGCAGCACAGGTAAACTAATGGGACAGGGGACTTCCATAGGGCTAATGATTTGATATTGCGAACGGGCTGCCTTCGCGCCATGCGACTGTATACAGCTTCTCTACTTGCAAGTTCACTTTCGTCTCTGTCCTAGTCTAGCTAACATTACGCATAGCCAGTCTCTCATAGGCCCTCCTGTCATAGCTGGCGGGAGGGAAACCAATTCCAATTTGATCCTAGACATTCATGTTTAGAATGAGCCTCATCCTTCCTTCATGCGCTTTTGTTTATCTGTGACGCACTTTCGAGATTCACATCATCCAGGCGTAGGGAGAAAAAGGCAAGGTAGTCACACCCCCAAAAAGGCCTGTCGATTACATGGAAAAGTCTTGTTTCACAGTCTGCTTTGTCGATGATCTGTTTTCGATTAACACTGGCTGGAAATCTCTTGTGTCTTGACTCTCCGAAAGCACTCAGACTGCTTAGTCGTGACCGCATGTGTCCAAAGCTTGAACAACAGAGGCGTATGAGTCCGAGAAGAGCGCATACTGCTGTTATTATCGACTAGATCTATCCTTTTGTCTGAGTGAGGGCTACGGTGGCGGGAAGAGTTATGTCAACAGCCCACGATTTTCAGGTGACAATATTAAGACTTTCACTATCTTAGCGGTCAATGGGAACGAATTCCGGCGAGGGAGGAGCTGCTATGGCACCGGAACGTAGCGATACGCGTTGCCGTTATGCTTTCCAGCTAGTCGAGCAAGTAACGTGCGAAGAAGCTGGACAAAGTGCCAGGCAGGCAGAAAAGTTCACGGAACAGCCGCATGGCCCTTTCGAAATCCTTTCGCATGATCCTTAGCGTAGGGAGGATCGGCATAGCCACTTCTTCGACACGGAGTTAAGAATGTGCCCAAGCTGTGGGTAAGAATTCGATGGGCCTCGACTGATTCAGTCACAGTAGTCCCGACTGCTTATAACACAGCTGTTGTCAACGCCTGCCCGTTTGCCTTCCGGGATGTTACAATTATTACTGTGGGTTGTTCGCATGGTAACATAACAGCACGGGAACATGACAGCATGGAAACGCGTGAAACCATATTGTGACCTAGAAAACAATCACTCCCAGTGGTGAGAGTTAAAAAGACGAATCAGTGATTCTTGTTCTCCGACGTCTTTACGTCTTTCCTTTTTCACGTATTGCAACAGCGAGTACGCAAAACACTTGATTGCCCACCCTCTCTTGAAATGGCAAAATCAACCCCTCCGAAAGATCGTTTCCGGCCGTATCACGTAGGACGCGGAGGCGCCGGGAACGTTGTGCGACCGGAAAGCCGGCCCCGCAGTACTGAAAGGAGCATTGCGCCCACTGGTTCCCGACCCAGGGCCGAAAGCGTGCAGCAAATGCTTCAGCGGTTATTCAAAAGACGTAGCGGATGACACCGTTACGCAGATGTGCACGTCTGCGCAGGAAAACAGATGCGAGGCGCATGGCGAGATGCTTGCCGAAAGCCAACCTGATCGAGAGAGTAAGTACTCCTTGGTTGCTAAGCGTGTGTCCAGGATAGTTAGCGATCAGATAATAACCCCGCTAACAGGCCAAGACATCCCACTCCCGCCATAACACTGTGTCGACAGTTTCGGCTTCACGCAATCTGACATAACTACGGCAAGAATGATCCACCAAGGCATTCTTACAGGCTACCTCAGATCGAATGATATGTAATTAGATCCTTCGAGTTTTACGCGAGGTGGTGGATGGTGGATATTTCTTGCTTCACAGGTGGCTGAACTGTTCACTTTCGTTACCATCCTCAATAAGGTCTGATACCCTTCTATGTACCAGGCAAATTCCACATCCAAGCACAGACCACAGTGAGATCTAGAAATAAGACCAATACCAGACCGGCCACGCGAGGACCTTTCGGTAGGCCAGACGACCCCCATCCGGTAATCAGCGAATCGGATCATGTCCATGTTGTCCGTTTGTCAACAGCCAGTTAGATCGTGTGTTGCCAACGTCAATCGCTCAGGCACCCGACCTGTGCATCGTCCAGCGGCACCTTTGTAGGGCACCAAGAGCCTCAATTCGTCGACCCCAGGCGAAAATGACTTGCGTTGCAATCCCAAACGGGCCCGCATATGCACACTTGCCAATTTGCGCGTTCTCGTGAAAAGAACTAAGCTTTTTATGTGTCCCTTCAATGCAACGCAAACTCTGCATGGAAGGAGGGGTCAGATCGCGATAAAATTGGACGACATGAGCTTTCTCTCACTCACGAGCCTCCGCGTAGTTCTTGAGAGCAGGAGGGTATGTCTCGTTTTCTTTCGTTGCATGTCCGCAAAATGCTGCTCAGTCGGTTTCTTTCGATAGAAAGCGAGCGGCTGTCCTGTCATGCACTTTTCGATATGATAGCCACAAAATCGCTTCAAGAAACGAGCTTGCTGATGATGATGCTTCAGCCATCTCCGAACGCTATACGCCTGTATGTTTCTTGACATGGAGTTGCTCACCAGCTCGCCTTGGTGTATCCTGGCTTAGCTGAACCCTAACACTTCGCATCACGAAGAGGAGGGGGGTTTCTACTCCAATCAATTACCGCCGGAACCAGGTTGCCATGGGGCGGAAAAGCAGTAGGACTGGCTAGGGGCTGTGCAAGATTCGGTCTACTAAGGCAGAGATGATATAAGCTAGCTCACATTGCCTAATCACACGTACTTGATATCGCGACAATTTCGTCGTCTTGGGAATGTTTCACATCGTAAGATGTGTGTTCGCCGCAAGTGACGCTGCTGTTATTCTCACTTCCACCCTTACAGATATGACAACTCTTAGGCCGCCCCTGGCCGAATTAATGGCCGTACCCATATATTGCCCTCTTGTGCAGTTTCATCGCATGAACAATATCCAGCGAGGTGATCGTCCGGCGGTTTGCATGATCGCAATACATGACTGCGCTGCGAACGATGTTCTCTAGAAATAACATCATCGCGGCGCGAGCTTCATTGTAGACATCTGCAAATATCGGTTAGTGCTATCATAACGGGTGTAATAGAAAGACTTATCACAAACCGTAACTGATACGCTTCACGCCACCGCGACGAGCTAATCGACGTATGTCTGGCTTGCTGATACATCTGATGTTATCCTTGAAGCTTTTCTTTTCGCGTTTAGCGCCGAATATGCCGAACTTGTATCGAGACACAGGGTTAGCATAGGTTGAAGGGTTATTCATCTTGGTTTGTGAGCTGGTAGGGCTCTAGAGGACCATCATTCTTATAACTTGGTCATTACTGAGTGGGTAAGGGAGTTTCGTCACATCGTCTCTCTGTGTCATACAATTTCGCCCATGGTCTGACCCCGTGAACGGGCTCGAGGTCAACCGCAAAGATGGCATTACCTGTATCAAAGCATATCTAGCCACCCGTCGAATCGAGTAGGTGACTGATTGATGTCTGTACTAATATACTGTCGGGTGAAAGGAACGATGTCTAACCCCCCACGGTCTAGCAAAGATTCCCGTGCCATCATTTGGGAGGGGGGGTGGTGGTCTGATGTGACTTAGCTGACGAGCAACATAGACTCGCTCTTTCACCTTAATCCGTGACTTTGCACGCGGTGTTCTCGCTAGATCACGCTGCAGGATTTAATTCGCTAATCCATCTTGTATTGCTCCTTGATCCTAACCCCACACTTTCTCAGAGAATTAACCAGGTTTATACACGGGATTTGCTATTATAACAATGAGGTAAGAGCTGGAAATGCGTTGATTGGCTCTGTAGTTATCTCATAAAACTTTGTGTGATGGCTGGAAGATTTTCCGGCTATTGCGGCTCGAGTATGGTGTTTCAGTGATGTTTCGATCATTTATTTTTCCCGCAAGCTGAGCATTATCTCGAGTATTAAGAGGTTACTTATGTCATGACAGCATTGGTGATCCTTGCAAGGATGACGTGAACGAGATCTACAAAGCAGCGAGCTTGACGTAAAAGTCTGTGGAGGCGAACGAAGGCGAGGCGCTTGATAGACTGATAGGCCGTAATCATTAGGTCTCAGGACGTTTTGTTAAGCAGAATGTGAGATCTAAATGTGAGTCAGTAAGAAGTAACTTACCTACCGACTCTTAGCTCCCACTCAAGTACGTGATAATTACCTAAAGTATGATTCATATAGAAAATAATCATCGTTGTCATGGACACTGTGTGATAAAATCGCTACGATGTGATCAATGTAGCCGGAGATCGCTCATTCAAGTTGCCAACATGAATCTCTGCTTCGTGTGATCCTCATGCACGCACTCGAGCAGTCACGGAAAATGACGAGCTAGCGGAGCACCCTGCTCAGATAAACTAGCTAGTGGGGTTTATATCGTGCGTGTACATAATGCATGTCTAGCACTGTGACAATGTATCAAGCTATCTGGGAACTAGGTCCCCGGAGTCGAATTGCTTGAATCCGGTTGTATAGGACTTGAACACTAAGCAGTAGTTTCAGTATTTGTTACTTGAGTTCATAAAATATTCTATAAGTCACACCACATACCACCGTTTGCGGGAACCCGCGTCTTGAACAATCTTTGACCTGCTGCGAATTGACGCTGTATTTCTCATAGAACGAAGGATGAAGCTCTATCCGAAAGGGGTCTGGCAACAGTCCCTAGAAGCTCCTCGACACCGCCGTCAAGACAAACTATGTCGGCGAGCAAGAATTCGTACTCTTGTCCAAGAGATTGCGGCAGCTAAACATCGGCGGGTGGTGGAGCAAAAGACCGCCCAGCGAACGCAACCGTCAAAGCTAGAGTCCGAGGTCGCCAGCCACAACGTGCTCATGTTGAAAGTCGCAGTCGTGTTGACCGCCTCTGGATTGCTCGACTTCTCCACGAGGTCTCTACCTTGTAGCTCGGGTACCTGCAACCACTTGATGGCCTACTCCATACGTCTTGGGTGGCCAAAGTCTGCCACTTCAGTCAAGCAGTCGTCGAGGCGGCCCGTCGTTCTCGGACGATTTGAGGACGACGGCCGTTTCCGCTGTCGAGTTCAGCAGTATGACACCAACGGCAACTCGCTGTCAGATGAGCATAAGCATCGAGGCTCCCTTGATGTTCTTCCTGGCGATATTGAACTCATTCACTCCTTCAGCAAGCACTACCACAACTTACCAGAGGCAGTTTCAAATATGTTGTTGAGACAGGAAAGACGCTTCTACCACTTGTTTTATTCCTATTGGGGCATTCGAAATACCTGGCAATAAGTAGTCATAAGGCCCTGAGGCAGCGTATTGAGGGCGACACACAAAATAAGTTTCCCAACCTGTTTTGCTAATTCAGACGCTCGTTGCTTCGAGAATCTTCCGGTGGATTGGTTGCAGACTGGATATGTAGTCGAATAACTTGACGCATTTTACAAAGACATATTCAGAAGCCCTGGTCATAGTCGTCTCAGGGCTTAGACGGCCACTTAGTCTGTATGGCGTTGTTGCTGATTGACAAGGTGGTGAGGTCAGGATCGTAATGGTGCCAAAGCCGCAAGTTCCTATCTCTGTCTTTGGTAGATGCTACCAGAATACATAGAACAGTGTAATCTAGAGCGATGCTGAAATAGGGTGCGATAACTGGTCGTCAACCTCCTTGGATCGGGTTGGTCAAAAGATGTGACAAACGTTAAGTGCTGATCTCTAGTGTTCTATTTCAATCAATGCAGTATCGAGGATACTTAAAATTTTCAATGAAGGTACTGCTATGCTAGGCGTTTTTCTGCCTTGTCCCATCCATGTTCGCAGCGAGGATCACAATCGCCTTCGTTCTAGTAGAAGAAGCACCATACGAATGATCTTCGTTACCCCCCCACCCCCCCTAATCATGATCACCCGAAACACTGACCTGGTCTGAACGACGACGTTATCAGATTTCCGTCACCTATCATCAAGATGCGCAAGGGTAGTCAAACCATTTCCGGATTGCACATATCGATCGCTGCGGCAAATGTATTATTGACGGAACACACACTAAAACAATCGAGGGTGAAGAATGACTAACGTAGGCTGCGTTCGCCACGATCACCAGCTCCGTGATCTTGAAAGTATTACTACCCTGGATCAATCTCAATGAGTCTATTCCTCGATCAGAAGACCGAGTCTTGAACTCGAGCTATCATTCTAGCTACCAAGGCACAGATGCCACCGACCGTCGTCCTGGAGTTGAAGCCCTTCGAACACTGTATGCCTCATGCCTTCTATACGATTGTCCGTCTCGTAAAACTCCTGAATGACTCCAAGAAGGCAGAAAAGTCTTCTTCCTCGCACATTGATTTCAATCAGCTCATCATCAACAGGCAGTTCGTCATACCAGTGCTCGACATCCAAAATCGCGGTCAGAGAACCCCACGATATGGTCTGGTCGACTAAGAAGGTTTCCCTGTCATGTCCGGTGGCCTCGCTGGAGGAAGCGTTGCCACTAATGACAACATCTCTCAGTGGCAGGTCGATTTCCCAGCCAATCCTATCCAAGATTGTAATGTTCCTCGAGAAGTCATATGGCCTACTGAGATTGGTGCAGTTTTGTAAAATCATTGCAGTCGAGCGACGAGCTCTCTCATCCATGGATGGAAATTTCTTTGTAACACCATCATAATAATCAACCTAACTGACCCGAATTGGATTGGCACTGGCACTCGAACTTTCGCAGAAGTCAAGGGGGAATTGCTGCAACCGGAACTCGTTGTCGGCGTGCAGTTGAGAAGAGCAATTGGGCTGCTCAATGGACCCTACGGAGGTACGCCTCTTCTGCGTCATGGTGGGGGACTTCAGAATTTGACTCTGGACAATTGGGATGAATGGACGTTGCGGTATTTTCTGCTTTACGCTTCAGCTTTTTGCCTACATGGGAGGGTCAGTACATGTAGGAAGTGGCTGAGCGCCGCAATGACTGGATTTGCCTTACGGTAGTTGCGTTGGGCAATACGGTTCTGAATCCTGCGACACTCAGCAAGATCGGAAATCTTGGTCCAATCCTCGTCAGTATTGGCGAGTTTGCCGGGAGTGGCACGTGTTTGTGCGGTTTCGCCGACGTCTGTATCAGAAATTCGAAATGGCATGATGGCCTGTGATATGATCACGGCGTACGCTCGTATCTGGTGACGGGGGATGATAAGACAGTGGACAAAGAAAGATAACTAGCAGCAGTAAGCCACCGAATGGAGTATCTTGAGAAAGTATAATGTATCGTGGCTTGGAAAAGGAAGCTGTGCTACAAGACAATGGTGCGAAAGTAGGGAGAAGGAGGGCGTTTGACAGCTTCATATAGACTGCAAGATTAAGCAAGCAATTTTAGAGACGTGGCAGTGTCAGCAAAGAAATTGTTAGCAGCCTAGCCATGCAAGATTTACTGGAAGATCATCAGCGTATCCGTACTGTGCTGCCCTGGTGGTCTGCCTTGCCGTGCTGCCTTGCACCACCTGAGCCCACGGGCAGCAGATGGAGCGCATATTCACGCTCGACTGGTGGCTGCAGAAATCCCAATGTATGTTATAATGCGACTGGATTCTTTTTTGAAACCGCCGATAGGAACGTGGACGTCGTCAGCCGGAATAAGGGGTCCATGCAAGGCAGTGGCGGAATCATCAAAGGCCATGTGGAACGGCACATATCAGCACATCGTGCCCTTGCTGATGTTGCCTGAAATAGATAGATGTGAAATGGCATTCGCACTGGATTGGCTTGGGCAGACCAGCAGAGAGAAGGATGTGGGAGAATCAAGGCGCAAGGCAAGTATAGCGATGGCTTGTACACAGATAGTTGGCGGTCCATGGAAGGTACCACCAGAGTCAGCAGAAGGGACGAGCCTTGCCTCAATCAATGGGGTATTACTCCCAACCTCAGCTTAGCTTAGATGATAAACTCATACACGGGCCACGTTGCTTTAGCCTCTCGAAAAGGTGGAATTATGTAGAAGAGTAGTAGTTGAAAAATGGAAATTGTGTCTAGGAGTGATCGTTCCTCGATGGATTCAGACAGGACAGCCCACTCGTGACACCTGAGCACATATCACAGATCGCTTACGATCCATGGGTATGTAGTTCTAGCGAGTCACCGACTATATGCTGTTAAGTGCTTGATGCTTTTTATGACTCTGATATTTATTTGGGTAGTAGTCAACTTCATACTCCCAGAAGGTAGTAGTGACGACAAGAAAGTCAAGATAGAAGCAATAGGCCTTTCGCAAAAAATTTCAATGAGCAAAGGACAAACTTCCAAGAGACTTTTGTACATTTTATACAGAATCCTAATCTTTATAACAAACGAGTTGCATAGGAGGGGGTTCTCTCTAAACAAGACTATATTATCCGCCGCGGGGTAATTCCCCTATCAGTATCTGTAAAGGATCAGAGTAGACAAGCCTCCCCGGTGTTGCCCGCGGTTACCTTGCTTCTCTCGCAAGTCTCTTCTCGACACATCTGTGGAAGCACATCACATTAAGTTGTGTCTAGACCGTGATTGGTCGCCGCCCTGTGTAATCGGCGTTCTGCACCGTCCGAGGGCTCAAGACATGGTGAAGGTCCTTCGCTGTATATTTTAAATATAGCTTCGTATCTGTAAACCAGACGTTGTCACCATATACTCTCATCTTCATTGCTGCTGATTTTGAGAACGCTTTCTTGTGTAGCCCTGACTCATTACTTTTCGACGGGTAGTGCGTGAAAATGATTTCTTTGTCTATTGCAGGTGAGCGGAACCAGTATTGCGAAAACATACGGGCTCTCGCTCTTCCCATTTTTGTGATGCTACCAATCCTTCCTTTTTATGTTTGGAGCCCGATGCTATCAATCTTGCAAACAGCCATTGCCACACGCATGATGGAATGCTCCCTCGCTCCTTACAATGGCAATGCTGGCTCCAGGTACCTACGAAGGTGCGATTCCGCTTGCAATTTTGTTGCCAAAAGGCTGCCGCCAAATAATGACGGCCATAGCTCCATATATCAGCATCGGCAACCAATGTATGCCCTCCTTATTCGGGATGAGTCCGATGGTGCTTGTGAAATTCATCCTTAAACGAGGAGGTCGACGAGTCCTCTACGGGTTCTAATTTCGCAACTACAGCAAGTCAAAGTGTGAGATCCTCTTGAGAGGCTCAGAATGCGATGGTGGTAGGTAGATGATACATCATCATACGTCAGGTTGGTCATGGATAGGACAAGGTTTCAAGCGCTCAACGAAAAGTTGGGCTCAATTTGCAATCGGCACTCTTCGGAATGAACCTAAGGGAAAGAAGCTATTAATGGAGTTCGGAGTAGCTCAAGCACACCTGGTCGGCGGGCACAACGACGCGTCTTTCATATTTCACAGTCAATCAGACCCTGCAATTCCTGCCGTCTGCAAGATGGTCAACTGCTAAGCTGCCTTCCGTCGTCAACATAATAGGACCAAGACATCGTCGTTCTGTCGGTACATTCCAGGCCTAAACAACGGCCACATGTCGTATCTCACTTATGCGATGCGATCAAGTGCCTGGGTATTACCTGTCGTGGCCGAATCCTCGAGCTTGCGTGATGCTTTGCGTCGATGAAATTCATCGTTGATGTGGTCAAAGCGTTGATCTTCTGCAACGGAGATGCTCAGGCCAGCATGGCGTAACTCAACGTTATTGAGATGTCTCCTAGATCCCTTACAACTCCAGCTAGACCTGATTATTGCCGTTTTGGAGTATTCATGTGCGAAACTCAATTCGATACATTGAAGACCACGGGTGGCGGCTTTCTCTGGCTGATGTCAAGTACAACTTCACTAGCTGTCGTGCAGGTATGCAGCAGGAGGTTTGGCATCGCACTTTCAACTTGGTTGCGCCCCCTTGCGCCAATGCAATTGTTTGGCTAATCGTAATGGCGCAATTTTAGCTGGGCTACGCCGCAGAGCTGTCATAAGCGATAGTCACAAGTGACACACGCACCTACTGCTCACGGAAGGCACGATATCACTGCTCATTTCTTGGTCACACAACCACAGAGCGCAAGGGACATGGCATGACCTGCGTTACAAATCTCCTCTCCCGTCACCACATCACTCGCGCCACCAGCCAAAGAAAGAGGTGGGAGTCTGATGGTTTTAATGTATATATATACGGCAAAGGTCAATCAGTATTAGCACGGCATGCCGCACACATGGATTCAAATCATCGAGGGAAATCCACCATCAGCCGCCATCAGTCTGCCTCCATCCATCCAGCGTTCACAAAGGCCCTCCGTCGTCAGTGTAGTCGACGAGGAGCC